CAGACTAGACGATCTAGTGAGCCCTTCGGTCTTCACGCTGCTAGGAAGCTATGAAGAGCATGTGTGAGGTTCCAGGACTGTGTTAACTGGGGTGTGCCGCAGATCGAGTGGCAAGCGTTTGTGCAGGGCCAGGGCTGGATGAGCAGAGAGGGCTGCAGGTCTGAAGTGTGTTGGAGTGTTTATATGATGCCTGCTTGCGCTATGCCTGGACCGACCTACTGCTGCTGCTCCAGGACTCTCCTTAGAGTCTCGGTTGCCAAATAAAATGTTTTGTTTTAAGGTTAGAAAACCTAAAAGTAGGTAGAACTGATGTCTCTGGCTGCTAGAAAGGCCTCAGCACCGAGCAATCGGCTGCAGCAGCAGCTGCCTGTGCCCCTCAGTGACTTATTTCTTGACTTCTTGTTCTGCTGCCCTATTCTCATGGGCACCGGTCTGCTCTCGTCTGTACTGGTGTTCGGAACAGATGAAGCTAGCTGGGGAATCAGCTGATGGTTACACCCGTCTGCACCTTGCTGCCATCTGTGAGGTGGGACAATGGCCAGAATCGCGTAACAGACAGACCATGAAATCAGAGGGAAAATCTCAGCCACAGCGCCTACTTTTCCTGTTTGTTGTGACAACTTTTTGCCTCCGAGCCCCCATGTGAGCATAAGAATGGATCAGAGCAAAGGTCCGTCTAGCCCTCTGTCCGGTCTTCTGACAGTGGCCAGTGCCAGGTGCTTCAGAGGGAATGAACAGAACAGGTCATCAGGGGGCACATTCGGAGCCTCTTTCCTTTCAACTTTCCTTTACTGGAATCTAAAATAGAAAAATACCAAAGGCCAGGGCTGAAATCCTGCCCTCATTGAAGTGAACTGTAAAACTCCCATTGATTGGAATGAAGCCAGGAGTGCTGCCGAAATCCTCAACTGGGGTAAATTGGCATGGCTCCTTCGGCTTCAGTGGAGCTATGTGGCTTTACACCAGCCAAGATCTGGCTCAAAATGCGGAGGAAAAGATTCCCATAAGCAAATTATTGGACAGACAAAGTAATCAGTAAAGACCTCTGCAGCAGGAATAAGTGTTGAGAGCATGCATTTTATTGCTTTCTATTGAAATGATGCAAGAGGCTTTCCTTCTGTAGAAGTGTCGTAACAGACGCTTCAGAGAATAAATACAAGATGTTATCTGCAGTTGAGCTGGTTTAATATTGGAAAAACGTTGGTGATGCTGATTTTTTTTATTCTATTGTTTCCAATATAAATAAAACATTGAAATGGGAAAATTACAAATTCCTAATGCCAGTGAAATTCCAGTCTGCCTGGCAATATGCCAAGGCTTTCAGTAATGGTGAGTTATAGGAATATTTACATTGGGTCCCCTCTGCCTCTCCAGAGACCCAGCAAACCTAAATGTCGCCCTGAGATGATGGTTACGCCCGGATATTTTATTACACAGAAGAGATAACACAAAAGCACAGGACTAGATTAGAGAAGCCGTAATCTGGTCCCACCCCATGTTTACAGAGTCCTGGAGGAGACAGTGTAACGGATTAAGGTGTCATGTCATCCTTAACCATAAAAAAGACTGTTTTCTGGTCATGCATATGGGCCCATTATTTCTCAACTCTTCTAAGAAATTGCCTTGATATGCCAATGTCAATTTATTCCCCTCCCCTTGTTTTTTTTAACAGGAAACTGCCAAATGAATGTGTATCCAAATATGGGACATTTTTCCAAACAATTGATTTCCATCAAAGATATAGGTGGGTATTGAAGGGCAATACAGATAGGTAGTATTGCAAAACCCTGCCAGGATTTTGTGTGTGTGTGTGACATTTGCATTGCTCTTCTGTCCAAAAAGGCAAAAGTTGGTAGATTCTGCCTTTACTTACAACCCATGCATCCAATGGGACAAATTCTTCTTAGTTACCGTGGAGTAAATATGAAATTACCCCACTGACCTCAGTGGATTTATTCTGGATTTACACTGAGGCCACTGAACACAATTTGTCCCAGTGGCTTGATGTGGGATGTAAGTCAGAAGAGAATACAGCCCCTGGTTTTTAATGGGCCCACTGGTATCTAACCCTCACCCAGGCTCTTAGAAAAATCACATGAATCATAGCAAGTGTTGATACAAATATTTGACTTTTATCTCAGATTTTATCAAAACCAGACAGCTCTGTGATTTCTTCTCTCCCCTTGTGGGCTTCAGAGCGCCGGGGGCCCAAGTCTTCCCATTTACCTCATCCTTTCACTGCGTTACTGGTGCAGAAACCCAGAGCGCTGCCTTAACATTGGACCAGCGAGTCTGCAGACCTAGCCACTGACCGCTGTGCATGAGACCTGGTGGGCCAGCTGGCATGGAGCTGGGGCCAGGGTCCCAGAGAGCAGCCTTTTTCCCACAGGCTGTCCAGGATTGGAAGGTCACAAACCCTCGGACTTTGGAATAAAATAATTAGAATAACACCTTGGTGTGGTTGTGTTCAGCCTCTCTCTGCCAGTTAGAAGCTGGTCAGGAACAGACCTTCCCCTACAGTGCACTGCTAGAAACGCATCTACCCACTGGATCACACAGCCTGACTCCTCTCCCCGAGTGGGGCATGCAGCACGGCAGAACTGGACCAGACTCTGTAAGGTGGGTGTAAACTGGCCTCCTCTGTCCACTGTGGCACTTGAGTAATTTACACCTGCTGAAGATCTGCCTCCTTGGTTCTTGTGGCTGGAGATTTGTGGTGCCCTTGTGAGTTACGCAGGTTTTGGTCAGTCGTTGGCTCAAAGGCCAGGGGCTGATTTTTCCAGGGGCTGAGTGCCTCCACCACCCCATGAAGTCAATGAGAGCTCTGGGTGCTGCACACTTTCCACTTTCCGATTTCATGGGGAAGAATTTGAGGCACTCCCGGGCTGTCTAGCCAGGCTGCCCCCAAGAGGAATCCTTTTCCTGAGCCCTTCTTCACGGGTTTATTCCGTAACGTTAGTGAGATGAACTGACACCTCCCTAATCCCTCTTTCGCTCTGGACCCTCTATTGTCTTAGGACAGGGGCTAGGCAAGAAAAGCCCTTATAGAACATTTACCAAGTTCTTTTCAAAAGTGTTTTGCTGACCTCTGAGTTGCTCCTCAGAACATTTCCCTGATGGCTGCTTTTCCCAGTACCTCCAAACCAGATATCTGAGCGGGGCAGTTTTCCGGAGGGACTGAACCACATCTGCTGTCTAGTTTGAAAAGGGCTTTTTCAGAGCAGTTTATAAACATTCACTTTTTACTGAAGCATCCTGAGGGCTAATGCTCCTTTTAGCAGAGGATTTCAGAGCACTTTATACACAGTAAATTAAGCCTCACCATGCTCGTGTCATTGTGAAATAGATACTGTCCTATCCTTTTTGCTGCTGGACAAACTGAGGCCAAGAGGTTAAAGCAGCTTGCTTGGAGTCACACAGCAAGTGGATAGAGCTGGGTGTACAAGCCAGGAGACCTGACTCCCAGTCCCCATTCTCCTCCTACGCTGATCAGGCTATTATTAATTACTATTTATTATTGGATTACCGTAGCAGCTAGGAGCCCCAGTTATGGACCCGGAGCCCCAGGGTGGTGGGTGTTGGACACATAAAGAACAAAATGTCTCTGTCCCAAGGAGTTTACAATCTAGCTGTAAGACAAGAGAGGTCGGATAGTGACAGAAAGATGGCCGAGTACAAGGAAACAATGACAGGATGTTGGTCACATGCCAGGCAGTGGTCTTGGTACACTAGCAGCCTCGCTGTTGTCAAATTTTTGGTAGGCACCACGGCAAAGGAGGGATTTGAAGGAGGCTTATTCATTAGCGGTTGCGGGTGTTTCTGGGAGCTCCTGCCAGGCGGGAGGGGCAGCCTGGGAGAAAGCACAAAGGTGATGGTTTGGAAATGTAACAAGCAAGTGCTGGAGCTGCCATCAGGAAGGCTTGGCAGAGGATGTGGCTTTGCAGCCATTCATACACAATGCAGCCTTTACCTGAAAGGGCCATTTTTCCTTGCAGCCCTGGTGTCATTTTCTTGGTATAAATAACATCCCAAAGCGTGTCTCATGGGCCTCTGGCTGCCACCTGCGGTCTGTGCGTGGTCCCACAAGTCCTATCCAGCAGTTGTGCTCATTAGCAGAGCTAACCTCGAGCTGGTGCTGAAGCAGAATGTCTGACCCTCAGCCTGGTCTGGATTTCCTCCCTTTCATCTGGGAAATGTAGTCGTGAAACCACTTGCCCTTAGTGCTAATTATAGCGTAAACTCCTCAGGGAAGGGACCATCATTTGCTATATGTTCATCCTGCATCTAGCACAGCGGCACCCAGAGATGGCGGGCCTCGGGCTTCAGAGATGTTTAGGTGAGTTAACCTGTGCAAACCCAATACTGTCAGTGGGAGGGGGGGAGTGTAATTGGGCTCTAAAGAAGCCATTGTGCTTTTTGTATGAGAAGGGGATGGGATGGGTGTCCTTGACCAAAACACCCCTCCTCTTACTCCCCTTGTTTGCCAGCCCCTGAGGTGGCAGCAGGTCAGGGGTGCTTTAGGTTGGAAAGGACTGTGGACGCCGGTGGAAGGAAGGTTTACTACAGAATGGCAACATGAGCTCTAATCCTGAATCCAGGTCCCCCTGATGTGAACACTAAGTGAGCAAGAAGTCTGTGCTGCTCTCTCACACCCGCACAGCTGGGTGGATATTAGTTGATTTGCAATGGTCTTGCCTTAGTTTTTAATACACTGACTTCACTGAGTTTCATGTGCACCGTGCCTGGGTGGTGGGTGTCCCATTCCTTACTGAGGTCAGTGGAGTTAGTGGGGCACGCCACGGGGTGCACTGACTGCTGTTCTTGCACTTCCTTTCACACACTGTTGTAACCAAAGGATTACGCAGACAGCCCAGGGCCCGCCTAGGAACCCCTGAGAGGCTGCAGAGGTGGCTACAGTCAGACTGGACCCACAGTGCAACAGGGCTGCAGGCTGTTGTTTTCCATTCCAGTCCCTGTGAAATGATCCTTCTCTTTTCCGGAGGAGGGGCTCTACTGCTTTGCTCTCCAGAGTGTCTTCTCTCGCCCCTCCACCCCTTCTCCCAGCGCTGGAGAGACACACACAGCCTGGTGTGTGTGCGCACAGAGGCAGGCCGGGCAGCTGCACTTTCCTGCCATTCAGGGTCTGGTTTCTGAACGCGGCTGCTACATTGGTTTAACTGGAGTAAACCTCAGGTGCGTCTCCAAGCTTGAATTAAAGAGGGGCTGCAGGGTGTGTAACAAGCCATCCACTCTGCCCAGGGCAGCTACAAACCGCTCCCTGGAGCTTCCCCATAACTGTAGGGCCTGGGGTTAGCTCCTGCCTCCCTCCTTTGGCTCCGGTCCCTGTTTTCCTAGGGGGGGGAGAGAATCGATGTTTCCATCTTTTCTTGCTTCCTCCTGTCTCTCTCTCTCTCTCCCCCCCCCCCGCGTCAAGCAACAGATTATTGCAAATTCCTCCCCCCCCTTTGCAAATTCCCCTTTGATCCACCTTCCCTCCCCCTGTTGTCTGACAGCCCCGCGCTCACACAGGCTCGCGAACATGCCCATGCCCACGGTGCAGCCAGCCAGAGGGGGACGGGGAAGGTGTGTCTGAAACCACCAAGAAGCCATTAGGCAGCTGACACCGATGCATCTTGGCGCTCGCGTGTAACGAGCTCACCGAGCCCGGCTCTCTCCCGCTCCACACAGGGCTCAGCTGCAGGACTCGGGGGGCTTCTCTGCCCGGAGAGGAGGCGGTCAGCAGAGCCCCCACGGCCCCGTCTCTTCCCCTGGGCTCGGCTCGGGACTGGAGGTAAGGGGCCGGGCGGGGGAAAGTTTCCCGGCGGGAGCTCGGAGCGGGGAGGGGTCCGGGGCGGTTCTCCTGCCC